AAAAAAAAAAAAAAAAAAAACTGTTAAAAAGAAAAAGAGTCCCACAGTTTGTGTTTATCTGGTGCTTTATGGGTTCTCAGCTGAAAGACTGCAGAGGTGGTATGGTCTTGGGGTATCACCCATCTGTCCTTCATAAGTGATGTTAACTGTCATCACTGAGTCGAGGTGTTACTTGATTTTCCCACTGTATAATTACTGTTTTGTCTTTTTTCCTCCCTTGCAATGTAGAAGAAGTCTGTGGGGACACAGCTGAAGAGCACGCAAATATCCTGCTCATGAAAATTAAAATCCATCGCCTCTAGATTGAACACCTGCTGATTCTTGCCTCATCTGTTCTTTATGATGGTTGCAAATTGACTTTCCAACTCCAGCAGGCACTCAGCATTTTACCATAGGCAAGAGCCTTCCCTCTCCCGCATTTATCTATTTATTATCGATATGGATTCCTGTATTCCCAGCAGTTTTTTTGCTTAACTAACGATCGTCCGTGTCAAGTGCTGGTGATATCGGCTCTTCATGTTAAGTTTCTCAAACCCCACAACAGCCGCATGACTGAATACCACTGTTACCTCCACTTTGTAGTTGAGGAAAGTCACGGAGAGGTAACCTGGCCATGGTCACGCAGCTGCAAAGTGCTGGGATATGAAGCCAGGCCGGCTGGCCCGAGTTCATGCTTTTCAGGCCACCTCCTATCCGGCCCTCCAGCCTGGCATCCATTCCTCCAACTCCCCACCAACCATGAGAACCGTCCACGGTGCCCTGAGGAGACAGAACAGTCCTCCGACGGGGCTTCCCGGGACTCAGCAGGAGCGTGTGGCTTTCTGACCAGGGCACTCAGAGCTCTCTGGGCCACCCAGCCGGGAATAGTCCCTTCCAGAGCCCAGGGACTCCCCCTCTGAGGGAAGCCAGGGGCACAGAATCTCTGAGCCCTCTAAGGCCCCCATGGCAGGCATGGCATCTTTGCTAACCTGCCCTGAGAGCAAGGGTTTCCTGGAGATTTCTCGGAATCATTCCAG